CAGCAGCCAGTTAGCGAACGTGACACGTTGCTCCTTGTCTTCTTCCGTGATGTTTTGTAATAAAGTGAAATAAATGATACGGGTAGAGATGAAGGTAGCGTCTCATAGTACGGTGCACGCTGGCGCGGGGAATGCCGGTCAACTGAGGCACCTTAGTTATTGACGAAGAGGCCATGGTGCTCCGGTAATGAAGTTGCCTGATGGCATTCTGTACAACAGGCGCCCTTTCATCACTCAGAGGTTTTCTCCTTTTGCCAAGAGAATCCAGTACAGATCCAGTGGACTCAAATTTTGCAATCAAGCGTGTAATGGTCGACGCGGTGAAAGGATCTTTGACGAGACCGTTTCTGGTTTTGTAACCACGAATTGCAGCAGTGGCGCTTTCACTGAGGGACTAATAGAGTTTCACAATTTCAATGCACGTACTGACATCCATCGTAAATAAAATAGAATGTTAACACTTGTATACAAGACCTTCTTTATGTGGCTATCAAAAATAAAAAAAATTTTAACCTCCCTTTGATTGGCTACGTTAACTCTTCCAATTAAATTTTGCGTCCATTATGAGGCACCCTGTATTTAGTTTCTAGATGGCTATCTCTCCAACAGCCCGACTTTGGTATGAAGATAATAAGGCTCAAGATACCTCAGTGCTTAGGGCATTACGTGAGGTCCTTGGTTCGAACCCAGCGCCTTGATCTTAACTACTCATTTCTAAGTTCAGGAAACCTGACAGTACCTCAGCCCTCGAGCTTCCTTCGGGTGCTATAGGGGCTAGGCACCCAAAGGATCTTACAACTGAACGTTTAGAAGACACACAAGCAATCAAAATGGACAGTTCTTCATCGCACATCTGCTTCAGCAGTTGATTCCGGTAGCCTAATTAAAGCCACCATGAATTGAGACACAAGTCGGAAAACACTTGTTCACTCACACTTAAAGCAAGCGAGGATGCGCGCACTGAAAACGGGATTCGAAAGTGTAAAGTCTCACTTGCTCACTCGATTCAACTAGGGAAAAAACTGAACCACGACACTTATGCGGACAGTCTTACTCCTTTCCACGCATGCAAGATAGGACTGTACTCGAACCTCAGTCGTACAGGGGTTCGATCTTCGGCAACCCAGGATGTCCGTTGAAGAATATTCAAACTCAGGCAAAGCAATACTCATGTGCGACGCCCTAATATGGACTGGTAAGTCGTGTCTCGCCGGTGACACAGAGGCTAAACTCTGGTGCAATAGCTTCACCGTCAAAGCATCCGTCAAATAAGATCTCTACGCAATCAGAGACTAATTGGCTGATTGATTATTTCCGACAACATTGAACATGAAGTGGGAAATGTCATGGGAAACATAAGTTGCTAACCACGTGTTGCTGAACTCTGCGTTTGGCTATATAAAGAATAGGTGAAAAACACTTTTCGGTGAATCGCCAAACATGGTGGAGCAAATTACAATTAACGTTGAGTTACGTCATTCATCCGCGTCGAAAAACAACCACTTGTTGTCGGGAAACCACGAACAAGTGTGTTAGGAATGATCGGTGACCTTTTCAGTCGACCGAAATAGCTGACTGACCGTTGGTCAGTCATGATCGGAGGGATGTTGTAAGTGGGTGAAAAATACCAGGGACTATTGAAACATTCCGCAACGAATCTACTCGTTACTGTGATGGTGCTGAACTTTGGAAAATAGAGCCCAAGTAAACATGAGAAGAGGGAAGGTGAAATGAGAGAGAAGAAGGGAAGTCATGACTAAAGAATACCACGCAAGTTGTATAAACCTGGCCGAAAGGTGATCCACACCAACAGCTTTCTTGCCGAAAACCTGACCTATTTCCTGGCCGAAAATCGATGTGACTAGACAATATGACAGGTTTATTTAGGAAGCCGTGTTTACGTAACAACCCTATTACATTCCGTGTGCAGGCGCGCGTATTGCTGACAGATAGGCACTCGGCTTTGGCGAACAAATGTTGATGGAAAAGTTTTGACTGGCCTACACGTAACACACTACTCATAAGATTACTCTGAAAACTTCGAAAATAGATTATTCAGTCAATCGCATAAAAAATAGCACATGAAATTGGTAAACTAGCTGCACAATAGTAACTCATTTGCTCATACCAAAACGGACGTTTCAAATGTAACTTTGATGAGACGGTTTAAGTTAGCAATAATATTCTGATAAAAATAAAAGATTATGTGGTCTGGACATCATTTTGAACGAGCCGTCAGTCTTCAACTCCGAGTGGGGGGTGTTAAAACATACGACCAAGCAAGCATCTACAACCTTGGAGTGTAAACAGGCAGGTCTAAAACGCTCTGCTGATCGATGCATACCTATTTTGGTTCTGTGCTACTTTCCCATTGCGTCACAACTTTTTTGGATGGTATTGTAGTTCACAGTAAGTCAGAAGAACACGTATGTACTGACACGGGTGTATTGTGTACACGCGGCCAACTTGGTCCGCTTTCGTGGCGGGACTGTAAACAACTGAGTCATATATCCAGTCAACCCAGTCACGTGAGTAAATCAATCGGACACCCACCCAATCAGCCACACAACTCACATGCCAGATCGATGGTGGAACGACGAACGGACACACACATGCACAAACTCTGACACACCGAAGCAGCTACTACAGATGGTTACGCACGCAGTCTTGTTTTCCTATTGTTTACTTCTTGATCTAGACGGACGGAGCAGTTAAAGAATACTGCACAAAACTGGATGGGAAACGATGAATGCAGTTCATCGACGGATGTTTTAAGCATAAATTCGCCCCTGAGGTCGTACGTATAAAGATACTACTACAACCGAAGTGTGATGGAGTCCCTTGAGGTCCACCAGTAGCCCACTGATGATCTTTCGCAAAATATGTAGTGAACAGGCCTCATAGGGTTGCTGAAAACGCTTCGATGCCCACGACCGGTTTCGCCCTTCTTGGAACTCCCCAGGTAGACGCGGACCCCACGTTTCCCTCAACCTTATGTTCTAGTTGAACCCAAACTGTATGAAATTAGCGGAATACATTCAGTTACATAACAGTTCGGTTTACACGGGAGAGCCAACCGATTCTCTCGTCTGTGATATTCTTCCTCAAGCGTAAAAAGCCTCCCGAAAGTCTCGCAGGGAAGATATTTACAGTAGTTTCAGGTGTGATCCAAGTAGCTCGGAATGACTCTTTAAGATGCGCAAACAGCCCTGATCAGGTCGGGGACTGACGATCTCGGATTCCAGGAACTGTGCCCAAAACTATGCAAAACTGGTCATTGGCTGTTTTACTCTTAAACTGTTTACACCAATGGAGCAGGAATTCACCCCGTTTTGTTTACAACTCCTGTTATTGAAAATAAAATGGCCAAAAAACTCCACTGGCAACGGCTTGCATCTGATGAATGCAAGGTTGTTGACTTCGAACTGGAATCTATCGTCAACATAGAGGAAACAAAAATTGGAGGAGAGATGCTGGAAAAAACTTGTCAGACGGAAGCGGTGACAGTTTACAGTTTGGCGGACAGGACAATGAAGGCACCGAATAAGTGTCCAGTTTCCAAAGCCCATGAGTTTCCACGACACGAGGATCAACTGCTGCGCGCAGCGGTTTCCGGGGCAAAAACATGTCTGGTTGGGCACGGGTGAATGTGATTGGACATAAATTCGCATCCGTCGAGATGTCTTTTCCTCTGGTAATACCAGCCGTTTTTTACAGTGAAATTCATCCGTCTCATGCACTTCATCAACTTGTCACAGCGAATTTAACCAAAAAAGATAGGAAGATACACAGTTTACTGTAGATTGACACTTTCCCGAGTCTGAATGTGTCTCAACTTGAAATTTCCGATGATTGTGCAGGTTCAAACGGGCAGCAATGTCGACAACGGCCTCAAGATCGAGTTATCAAAGCCGCCACTATCAGATTGCTCAAAAGTAGGATCCACAAAACCGGTTGTTATCAAGAGTAGTCTAAACAGAAGTTTTATTGCACAGGTTGGCCACCTTCCCTATGAAACAGTATCGAAGTGATAGACTGGGATACTCCCGGGAAGTTTGGACAAAAGTTAACTCCGTAGTTGCGCAGGGATATTTTGCCCGACCACGTTGCAATAAAACCTCGCTAATTCATCACCAAACGGTAGGTGGTTTTTGGCTTGACGGATAACTAATTGTGGAAAATATGCATTTTTGGTAGGGGTATCCCAATACTCCTAAGGTAGACAACCTTAATGTGTCAATGATTCAAGTAAGACCCATACAGAATGCGAGATCATGCCGTCAGGGCCTAGTGAACTAGGCCACTTAGATTGGTTATTAAACTACAAAACTCGAAAAGACGGACGATTGGTTGTCAATGCAAACAAACCTAAGTGTTGTGACCACAATTTTCTTAATGCTTTCTTGATACCCGAACCTGGATAGCCGCCTGGTTGGCAGAAAGCCAACGAACGTGTGAATCAGCTGATCTACCTTCAGCCGAAGGCGATCACGTGGAAAGTTCTAGGCGGGCCAAAAAGTGATACTAACAAGAGAACTCATCTATCAAGGACAAGTGACGAACAACCAATCAAATCTGTCTCAACGAAAACGGTTATTCCATTGGTGGTTTTGTAGTCCAGTTACGTTCGGAGCTGGTTCTCCTACCACTAAGTCACATCTGATTGGGTGCGATGAGGTGGTTTAGACAGCCGTTGAGCTACTGGGTCTACCGATCCGTATCATATGACCAAGGCAGACTCACCTCGTAGAGTCGTTTTGACAGCTCTTGTCAAGCCACGCCTGGTGAGGTGGTTTAGGCAACCGCTGAGCGACTGGGTCTACCGATACGTATCACTTGACCAAGGCAGACTCACCTCGTAGAATCGTTTTGACAGCTCTTGTCAAGCCACGCCGTTAGATTGATACTGACAGCCTATCAGATACTGGGTAGATAGGTGAAAGCACTCGCTTGGATTGATCACGTGACAAAAGTCACTTATGTGTGACTTGGTCAAGATTTTGACTGGTCTAGAGATATTTCAGCGAGAGGGATGCTCACCTGCTCTTAGCAAGTTGTCATGTCGTGTACCAAAAATATCCTTCCGAAAAACCACAAGAGAAACTGTACACAACCACATGAGGACTGGCATCTTGAACTTGAGGTTGCCATTACTAAGCGTCAACATAAACCACAAATGTGCTGGCGTCGAATTTTACTGGTAAAGCTAAACAAACTGCGATCATCTATAGTCGAAATTGCCAATACACTCTAAACCAAATAAGTGAAGTTCAGGCCAGTCGATGGAAATGTTCCGGTCAAGTTGTACAAGGTGGCACATCGGAAGAACCAATCAAATTCATCCCCAGCCAACTTCTCAAGTCCGAGTCAGTCTATACGTCGATCGATTCACAATCTGCAAGTAAATTACTCATCAACCTTATGAGTAGTTTACTTTATGATAAATAAGTCTGTGTCGCCCAGATGAGCCTCAACATTTTAGCTTTGTAAGGGGCAGCCCTAACCATGAAACAGGGTCGTTCGTTTCCTCCCCTGACAGTCGTCTTTTCAGGACAAATGTGACAGCTTTTCAAACCACAAAGGTTAAGATTAGCCGGTCCACTTTCTAAAAAAATTTCATTTGGAACATGTTGAATAAGCCGAGCCACACATACTATTCCTGATAGCCTATCTGTCATAAAAAAATAAATATGACAATAATTTGACAACACTTTTTGCCCCAAGATGATATGTTACTGACCAAGTTAGAGTCTAATAACACCTGTCACCTGGTTTCCTACCGGTCCAACATCTGGGCTGCACACAAACTTTGTTTTCCAAGTGTCAAAAACGAGGGCTGTAATTAAGATATATAAGAATTAAAGTATAATGTAATAAAATATCCACTGTTGCGTTTCCTTTTATCACAATTAATGGCTGGAGAGAAAATAACAATCGTTCAGCTGTAACATCCTTTCGGTGCCTAGATGCTGTGTCGCTGAAAGGAAGTACCAGGGCAGAGATATTGCCAAGGCACTCAAGTCTAGACAGGAGTTGGGTTCGAACCATGGGTCTTCTGATCATTAAGTTGATTCCTCAACAGTTAAAGCCCCTCAAAATCAGAGGCGAGTAGACAAAAGACTAGTGAGAGATCGGGCGTTGTTATACCTGATGTGTATCTAGCTAGATAAAACTGCTGACAGGTTTTTGGCCCGTTTTTTGAGCGATTGTGCGTGGAAATCCTACCCTGCGTATACCCAGTTCATCACACCAAAGCCAACTACGTACTGCACCGTAAAATGAGGTCTTTGAAAAAAACATTGATTTTTCATCGAGGCCAATTGTTCAGAAATGTACACTTTAGTCTGTCTATATATAATCAAGCATGGCATGGTTAGACACAAACATACATTTTCTCGCAGAAAACCTCATTTTCATTGCCACAGTCCTTCATGAATAACTATTTTTTTGCGAAACACACTACACTACTTGCTTTTGTGTCTATATTTGCATGCTTCTCGTGAATAAGCTCTCGTATAGAGGAATACACTCATTTGCAAATCAAGTGCTGACGCACACGGTCTGGCTTTGGTACGAGGCTGTGATCAACGCTGACTCGCGCTGTCTGGGTTTGATACAAGGCTGTGACGCGCTGCATGTTGAGGGGGTGTTTTCTATCTGGTCAACATCTAGCGAAGCTGAGACCTTCGGCAAATTTTGGGCACTCAGTGCTTGCTTTCAGGAAGCTGACCTTCCTGACACTCACTGACAAGTTTGTGAGGCCATTCATTGGCACCATAAATGATGTGTCTAAAAATTTGCAAGATCTGCTTGCGAAACAATTTCATTCCACATGGTGACTCAGCGGAATTCCGAATGAATCTCGAACTTTGTGATATTCTTCAACTGAGTGTGCTGCACAAAGGCCGCCTCGTGATTCAGTTGGCACGATATTTGAGATATCACAGTATCACAGCATAGAGGAAACTACTCACAAGTTGAAGAAGGGCGAAACCGGTCGTGGACTGTCGAAGAGTTTTCAGTAACCTTGTAAGTAGTTTCCTTTATGAAAAGCTCTTGTATCCCTTAAATTTCACATTGCCTTACAGAGCAGCATAGAATTCTTGGGTGTATCAACCCAATTAAGTAGTGTCGGACTGTTAGCCATACCTAATAGGTGTACGTGTGACCCATTTTCCAACTGTCTACGTACTACTTACCGGAGCAAGGTTATGGTTCTAGGACCGTAAGACGTGGTGATTAAGGCTGAATGTAGCGATGCGATGAGATAAAACCGTCTTCAGTTTACAGAGGGAACTGCTCCGCACCTGCCTGACGGAATCGATATTCCAAGAACAGGCTGCGTAATATTTCACCTTAATTCGCTACGTAAGTCTCAAGTTGGTGTGGCTCGCCACTGGTGGCACTCCCGGTGCCATAATCCCCCCCCCACTTATCTGAGAGTGATCGCAGCCTATCAGTTGGGCCACCGTTGTCTCCTGTGCTATTCTACCTGGTTTATTCGGGCTGGTGTTCTAATGCGGTGTGGTTACCCTAGATCGGTCATGCCATGCTCAAAAGCGTACATCAAAATCGGTCTTTCTGTACATAGTTTCCTTTATTATAATCAATAATGGCACTGTATTGGTCCAAGAATTCCGGTATTCATCTGAATATTTAAGTCACGTGATGTTTAACTATTTTCCATCTGACAAGAATTCACAACGGGTGTCAGACTACTTGCAGGCCGTAAACAGAGAAGTCGTTGGAACTTATACGAGCACTCCTTGAGCGTTTTTGCCCATCTGGGTTGCTCAGTATTACCTGAGTAAAACGACCTGGAGTGAGTGAGAAGTCATTGACCCTGCTGCTAGCCCGGCATAAGTTGGCAGTGTCACTTGGACCTGACCTGTTCGGTTGGTCTAAGAGAGAGCTAATCACACTGTGGGTCAGCCTCTTGTGGTCAAACGGTTAAGTGGCAAATGACCGAAATATCGCGGGTTGGAAACTTCGTCAGATGGAGGTTCGTGAGATGCATATTAATGGTGATTCTGAACCAGGATGTACGGTGCTTCTTGACTTCTCCGGGTAGATTGACTTCGTTGACAGGGTGAAGTTTCTATTGAACGCTACCAAATATTCTTACATAACCATGAAATAACTCCAATTTCCGGCGAAAAAAACGTTGACTTCACCAGAACCAAGCGTAAAATTACTGCTTCATACCTCTGTTTTGCCGGACTCACTTTGTCCAGCTGCATTAGCCGAGCAGCTGGCACCGAGAATTTCGTGTCCTTTTAGTGTCAACATCCAACTCGACTCCAAAGTGTCAGGTACTTTACGGCACTACAAAGCTATCAGTATAGCTTGCGGGTGGGAACCATTGAAGGTGAAAAATGAACTGAAGGGACTCCATTAGAACTTTACTATTGCACAGTCGTCATTATTGCACAATGCAGTTCGCTCTGGAAACAGTGAAAGGGAACCCCACAAATTTCGGAAGCGATTCATAACAGAATAGCAAATCTGAGGCAAGTTTCTGGTTTCTTTGTCATGAATTAGACCGGCAAATGAATGTTCACAAACAACTGTCGACGAACTACCGGATTTTTTCACCACACAGGTAAAATGTAATGGGTAATTAGAGAAATACACTCATTTGCG